CGTCGGGCTCTGGGCTGACGGCTCGGAGCCTGGAGCCTGCTTCTGATTCTGTGTCTCCCTCTCTCTCTCTGCCCCTCCCCCGTTCATGCTCTGCCTCTCTCTGTCTCAAAAATAAATAAATGTTAAAAAAAAATTTAGAAGGGGGCCTTTTATGTGGCAGATGCTGTGTTTTGTTAAGGATTCAATGAAAGAAGGAAACGGTAAATTCTTTGTAGGCAGGAGCACATACACTCTCAACTTGCCTCAGTTCTTGCTAACATCGAACGCAGACAGTACATTTTTTTGGGGTCAACGAATGGAAAATGATCATCGTCTTTGCCAGTGATATTCACGGAGGGCCTTTCCCTCCTCCAAGTCGTCTGTTTTCAGTTGAGGATTTGTTCTGAAGACGGGACAGCCAGGGGGAAAGGGGCTCAAGTTTAGCTCTGCCTCATCACAGAGCTTGCACGCGCCTTACCGTGTTGTGTTAAGAGCCAGGATCCCGCCTGTCTTTCGCCGCAAGTTTTTCTGTGGTCTTTGCATGCTTTTGGAGTCGGGAACCACTCAGATAACTCTGTTTTCTTGACTCAGGACCATGTCTGGACGAAGACTTCGGGAGGCCGTTCAAGCAGTGAGTTAAAAATGAAATAAAAAATGTATACCTTTATATTTGGGGAAGAGAAAAGAATTCCCTAATCCTGCGATCTGATACCTTTTAAATTAATCATTGCTAAGATGCCTAGAGTTTCACACACTTGAAAGTAATGCGTAGAGGGGTGCCTGTGTGGCTCAGTCGGTTAAGCATCCGACTTTGGCTCAGGTCATGATCTTGTGGTCTGTGAGTTCAAGCCCCGTGTCAGGCTCTCTGCTGACAGTTCAGAGCCTGGATCCTGCTTCCCATTCTGTGTCTCCCTCTCTCTGTGCTCCTCCCCCACTCAGGCTTTGTCTCTCTTGCTCTCAAAAAATAAATAAAACATAAACAATTTAAAAAAAAATAAAAAAGGAAGTAATGCGTGGAGGTGAATATGAAATATTAGTGGTATAAAAATAAGCTTAAAAATGAGAAGGAAGCTATAATCTGGTTTAAATATTTTATTGCTGTATTTATCTATTAATAATTTAAAAATTGATAACGGTTTTACAGATCAAATAGTACATAACCCTACGTACCTTAATATCTTGAAGTTCTGTCTAAATAAAATCTAATCCATGTTAGGAATTCTGTATTTTATCTGCATTTATGATTTTCTTCCTATTCAGGAAGGTAGTGTAGATGTTTCTAAAATGACATAATCATACTTAGAGCCGGAAATAACCACTCCGGTCAGCTAGTATCCTTCTATTATGCTTTTTAAGGAAACGGGCTTAGTGTCTGTATTTTAGTAATAAGAAGATTCTATATCTGCAAATTCAACCAACCAGTGAGATGTTCTTAGAGCCGCTGACTTGCCCACAGGTAGTGCAGTTATGGCTCTAACTTTTCCCCAAGGCCTCGTGGGTACTTGCACACAGCCAAACAGTTTTGATCATTAGGAACGAGGTTAAGAGAGTCACCTTACACGAGAGTCACATCTACGATTGCATGTTAAGTATAACTGGGCCGATAGGATACAGTACAGCGAAGAGCAATTTTATCGGGCTCTACCTTTCCCCCACCAGGAATTTGCAACCTATGGGATGCAGAACATGACCGCCGTCATTTCAGGCCTGTGCAACGTGTATACACATTACATTACCACCTTTGAAGAATACCAGGTAAAGTAGCAAAGTTCTCGTCGCTTCAGTGAACTCTACCCTCATCAAGACTGTGGTGGCAAATCCAGGTTTCCTGTCTAGACTTCCTCAAAGGGGTTTTTGAGTGGTGATTTTGTTTTGGGACAGACGAGAGAATGATAAGCCAGAGGTCGTGTTGGGGAGGATTTGTATCTGGGAGTTTGCCCTTTCCAAGTTCAAGTCAGATTTGTATCTGGGAGTTTGCCCTTTCCAAGTTCAAGTCCGAATTCTGGCCTCACTGACCTCCACTTTTTCTGAAATGAGTTGTTTTGTCGGGGGCTTTGGTAATGAGTGTGGGTGCTGGCCATGTCTCAGGAGTCCACGTGGAGGCATACAGTCTACCCCTTGACAAACGTCCAGTGATGCCAACAGTGAGCTCTGTTGACTCTCCTGAAAGTCCCTGTCTTCTAGGAGATCCTGTTGACTAAGGATTCCTAACTGCGGTACACTGGATGGGAATAATTTCCGTTTATCCAGTTTTGCATTTCTCTGTAACCTTTCACTTAGAATTTCCTTCCATTGTGAGTGTACGTTTCAAACAACGATAACACTAGCAGTACCTCTGACTTCGTCACCGATGGGGACCACAGACACGTTTTATATCACCTAGAGTTATTGCAGATTTGGAAACATTTCACTCTCGTTGCTATTTTAAAATTTTTTTTTTTCAACGTTTTTTATTTTTATTTTTGG